GAAGCGCTGCAACCCTCACCATCAGATTCCCTGAATCTGACCCTGTGGCACTCAGAAGCCAACACGAAATTTTCTCGCCACAGGTCCCCTCAGCCGCTGATGCTATAAATAGCCCGAGATGGGGTTATTTTCACCTGCGATTGACATACACTGTCAATCACCCTCAGCGCTGCTCAGGGATGAAGCCGCTTAGTGATCCCTGAAGTCCTCAGGGGTAATTCGCCACTCTGAGGCACTTCGCTATCCTGCCCTCAGGGTTGGCTATGGCGAATTAGCCCTGTTCTCGCCACTTCCTGACAGGCTCAGTGCGCTTGCTCAGTACAAGCACTGAACTCTTGAATTTCGCCATTTGAAATCTTCTTCCCTGCTGACTCAGTACTGGGGAAGATGAATCGCCATGAACCTCTCGCCAGTATATCGCCAGATGAAGAAGATGCCCCTATTGCACTCAACCCTCAGTGCTCCAATTCCAATCCTGATCCGATACCAACTATTATGAACTTGATTGTCTTACGATTTTTACCGCCACTCACACACAGACAGTCTCATACACGCCCATACATGCATAAGAGAAGGGGGAGAGGAGACAGAGTCAAACTGTACACAGATCAGAGTATGTAGCGGAAGTTCAGCCATGCACAGATGGGGAGAAGACACTGCGTGATTCTCACTCTCTGACAAACTCCCAACAACCAATCACAAGAAGAAACCTGCGAGGATAACAATTGGAATTCACACTGATGATGAGCCAATTAAACCAGATATCGTTACAGAGTTTGTCCAGCATCTCGCCACACTCAGAACCCCACACTCCACTCTCTCTCCCACACCCAGTTAGTAGCGCACAACCGAAACAGCCTCCCAGAGGCCAGCGCCAACCACCCAGATGAAGAACAGATCCGGCGATGAAGTCTTCAGTGCCGGTGAACAACTCTGACGAAGAAACGGGCAGCTATGGCTGCCGCCAGCCACAAACACTCAGTGAGGAGCCTCGATATAGCCGGGCCAGACGCAGATACCCTCAGGGGTAGGTGCGCTGAGGATGCCCCAGCTCCGGCAACCTTCAGAAGGCCGGCTATGGCTGCCGCCCACAGCAAGGGTCTCAGGATGCCGCCTGCAGACAATTGCCACCGTCAACTTGCTTGGCTTCTCCAAACGCTGCATCGTGAAAATGAACAGCCAAAAGTCCCTAAACGATTTCCCTAAACTATTAATAGATTTCTACTCTAGCCTAGACCTAGACCGGACTGACTGACCGACCGGTACCGTTTCTGCTTCGGCCTCTTGGCCTCTACCGGACCCGGCTATAGGCTATAGGACCGTCTATGTGGCATCTTCGACTCACACGGGTCCTACCGGACCCGACTTAGGGCCGGAGGGACACACCAGGGCCTAAAGGCCCGACCTTTGGGGTTACAGGCCCTAAAGGCCTGATTTTGGACTATCACCCATCGGGTAGGCCCAAACGACACTTCGTTTGGGCCTGGCGGCGCTCTTGAAGCTGCCGCCCGCCGATTGAGGCTGAAGCGTCCATCTGGACGGTCCAGTGTCTGGCCTGGCCTCGCAGCATTGAGGCCAGACCATTGCCCACCGGTATAAGTACCGGTATCCGCCTCAGTAGGGGGATCGGCCTACCGGAACTCTACCGGCACGGCATGGTCAGTGCTAGTGCACTGTTTTGATGCGCTAAACTTAGCGCAGGGGCTGAAGCAGGAGCGCAGCATAGCGCAGCAGCGAGCGGAGCAGCAGCGGGCGACTGAGCTTGCACGGCGGTTATCACCGCCTGAGGTATTGGGAGCTTGGAGGGTCTCTCCTCCTCTCCCTCGCCAGTCCCCTCTCTCTCTCTCTCCTCTTCCTCCTTCTTCTTCTTCTTCTTCTTCTTCAGATTGGAGACTATCCAGTTGGACAGAGATCACAGTTGGATTTCGGTGATACGAGACTGTGGTACTTACCTGATTGGAGACTTGGAGATTGTTGAGGTTGATACTCGGCTGCATCACAGTTGGACACCGGTTACATCTGGACTCTGTTATCTCCGACATTGGTGACCTTTGGTCCTCGACATTCTGATCTTGTTATATGACATTCTGGACTACCATTTCGGAGACCTATGTGACCTATCGGTGTGATCTACCTCCTACCTCCTTCGTCTCTCCTCCCACCTTTCATCTGTGTATGTGTGTACGGGATCTGGGTATCGTCTATGAATGACCCAGACCCCACCATCTCATGATTGTATGTGTGTGGAGTGATGCCATGTAGGTCAGTCTATGTGAGTCAGTTCGTTTATCAGACTTCCGCTGCATACATGCTCATCCTATATTGGTTGATCTTTGGTTCTGCCCATACTCATCGAAGTATGCAACAGTCTATCAGCTTAGGCCCTTAGGGCCTGTTTGTCCTAGGGGTAGCCCGGGCCTGCTAAACGCAGTGAGGGTAGCTGTAGGAAAGTCGAAATACCACTGGGCCTACTTTCCCCACATTTGCAGATATGTCCCTCACGATTTTTCCTTGCAGGTAGGTCTCTCGGCTAGCCCTCAGCCAAACAAAATTACAAATCTAACCTACTGCTGTACTGTACAGCCCCGAGGTTAGTCTCGGCGGTCGAAATCAGCAAGTCATTGCACACATATACTTCCAGTCACACTGGGTTTTGATGTTAACGTCTCGGGAGTTACCAGCAATCTTGATCGGTCTGGACTCTGGAGTCCTGACTGGAACGTATTTAGAGCAAAATATTTTTGAAATGGTAGGATGCGGTGTCCCATTGTTTTGGGGATTCTGTCAAAAATTATCGAGTGTAGTTAAACCATCGGTACCTTTGAGTCGCCTATCTTGAAGCAGTTCCCGTGTTTGATATTTGTAATTTGCACCAAGGTGAAGCCAGGTAGTTGATCCGGGAAGAGATGCATTTGGGCTGATGGGATGGCCGGGTGCATGAGGTGGACTGCAGCATCGGTCATCAGAATGTCCAAAACACGAGGAACTCAGGGCAAAGAACTTGAAAATTAGTGACCACCTGAGCCTCTCTGAAACTAACAAATGTTCAAACCACCACTACCCCCGCCGGCCTAAATTCGACTTTCCTGGCCTTACGGACCGGGTTCTTAGGGGGGGTGGCGACCGGCAGGTGCAGGCGGGCCTGGTCCAAGGATTTTCAAACGCCAACTTTGAGGATTTTTCGTGCTCAGAAGAATTGAAGAAAAAATCTGAAAATTTGAGATCATGTAGATTAGGTTGTGATCTTTGCAGGAAAAATATCAAAAAATGAAATAAAATAACAATTTAGACCATGAAATAAATGCCGCGCCGTCTCATTGCATTTTCCTTTTTTGCCATTCTGGCACATGCTGGCCAACCGGAGAAGTACCCCAACTTCCACATTTTTTTGCGCTCAGAAGGACGACTCAACAGCTCTGCAAATTGAAGGGCCTGTATATTTAAGATCGTGAAATGAATGCCGCGCAATTTCGTCCTATATTCCATTTTTGCTTCTTTTTGCTGCTCTATCACGTGTCGGCCAACGGGAAAAGTACCCCGACTTCAGCGATTTTTCCCGTCTTACCACTCGTACTGTACAGTGCTGGCTGCCGACCTATGTGGGAGAGAGAATCAGAGTTTGGGAAGGGGAAATAAACCGTCCATGAGTGTAAAGAAGCGCCTCTGACACATTTAGCACATGTCAATTCTTCAGCCAAATAGTTTGTTTTTTCTGACTCTTAGCCAAATTGGGCAGTGTTTGTTTTCCTCTGGGAGTCCCAAGGTGCAGCCCTGGGACGAGAGTTTGGTCAGAGGAAATAGACCCTCCACCACTGCAAAGAAGCGCCTCTGACACGCTCAGCAGACCAATTCTTAAGCGAAATGGAACTTGCAGCCAAACAGGTTCACCTTTCTAACCCTGGTTTTTGCCGAGTGCTTGTTTACCTCCTGGAGTCCCAAGATGCATCCCTGGGACCTCCAACCATGGATTGCACTTTTTTGTAGGGAGCGTAGAACACGCAGTGTAACAGCCAGAGCATTGGTAACTATGGACCTGCTGACAATTCGGGAGACAGGGGCCGGCATGCAAGACGATCTGCGTGTGTGCTTCCGAGCGTGTCTCTGTATGCGTGTGTGTGTGTGTGTGTGTGTGTGTGTGTGTGTGTGTGTGTGTGTGTGTGTGTGTGTGTGTGTGTGTGTGNTGTGTGTGTGTGTGTGTGTGTGTGTGTGTGTGTGTGTGTGTGTGTGAGAGAGAGAGAGAGAGAGAGAGAGAGAGAGAGAGAGATTCACCCACCATATTGTCGTCGTCCTCCTCCTCCTCCTCCCTCCCCCAACTGCTGTCTTCCTCTTTTTGGGTGACCACGTGGCACCAGGTAATGTACTCCAAAAACAAAACAAAACAGATGCTATGTTTTCCTCCTCCTCCACCTCCTCCTCCTCTTCTCCAAGTGCTATGTGCCACCATGTAAAATGCAAAAGCTGGAAATGAAAAGAGACTTTGCTGTTATTGTTGTTGTCCTCCTCCCTAATCTTCATCCTCCTCCTCCACGCGTTTCTGGTTTACTATGTCTTTGCCTCCTCTTCCTGCTCCTCTCCTTCCCTCGTCTACCTCCTCCTCCTCCTCCTGCTCCTCCCCTTCCCTTGTCTTTGCCTTTGTCGTCGAATAATACAAAAACAAAAAAACAACTCTAGTCCTCCTCCTCCTCCTGCTCTTCTCCTCATGAATCCCTGTACCAATTGCTTGTACTTGGCGGTATGTCCGACACCCATGGCATAAATGGGGGGTCTAGTATCTATGTTTGGAGGTCTTATTCCTTCAAGGAACCAATGGTCAGGAGCTTAACTCTAGGGCTAAAGGACTGGATTAGGTTCATCAAGTTATGACAAGGAAAGGTTTAAACGCTGGTTCCAGGAGGTTGCCATCCAACTGGAGCCACTGAATGTATTTTGGGTCTGCGAAAGACTGCTGGCCATTGTCTCTGACGGAAATCGCCACTGGTCCTTGGTTTTCTGAAGCTCAGGAACAGCTGGAGGGTTTTGGACAGCGACCACAAGGAGGATGGAGTGGCTGGAGGCGACGACTTCGAAGTTCCCCAACACTTGAGGATTTCAAGTACTTGCTTCTCCGACTAGAGGAGGTGAGTTCAACTTCCAGCTTTTGGTTTAAAACATCGTCTAGATTGGGGACTGGCATGTGTTCATTCTTGTGTGCATGTTGGTACACCTATGAACTGTCGAAATACAGACCCAAGTCACCCAAGTTCAAATCCAAATGCAATCAGATGGACAGAATAAAATAATGCTTGAATTACCTGGAGCGGCCAGTTCAATGACGATACCTCAAGGCTGTTGCCCTTCTGAAGAGGAAAAAAGGGGGGAAAAGAAAAAAAAAAGAAAGCAACTTCTGTTTATGGTAATCTCTTATGAATCCGTTAAGTGAATGCAAAGCTGTACACTTACAGCAGTCTACAGACTCTACAGACTCTACAGACTCTACACAGATATGCTTGAAACACGGCTGCAGTGGATCCATGTTGTGTGGGCTGTTCGAGCATGTCATGGTCTCGTAACTGGAACAATAGACAGTAAGCTAACACAGTCCTTACAAGGACAAGGAGTTGGGCTTCCGTACTGGCCTTCCCTGCAGAATGCTATTTGCGAGGGTCTACCCTCAGCCCTGCAGCAGGCACGTGCCTGCCCTAAGTGAAGGCGGGCCCCCTGAACCCCCATGTACCCTGAGTTTGTCAATTTTTGCAAATCTTGGTGGACGCCAGACAGTTGCCACGCGCCAGTTGGTTACATCTGCGTTGCTCGAGGGAATCGGAAATACTCGTGAGCCTTCCAGGCTCTTCCAGCAACGTGGTCCAAGCAGGGAACACCACACATTTGTGCCTGGGTGGTTGGGCATGCCAAACCAATTCGGTCCCAGGCCTCTGTCTGAGTGGGTTTGGGCGCAGACACTTTGGCCGAGACTGAAGCTAGTGGAAACTCGGTCCTGGCGGAGAAGGGCAGACCGTGCGCCCAACACTTTCGATATAGGAAAGTGTCAAGTGCCAGAGGAAGCATTCGGGCACTTGCACTTAGCGCGAGGTGCGGGCGTAGAGAGGATGCAGGAAACTGCTGAGGGCAGTGCCATAGCCCAGCCGTCATAGCCAGGCTGGGGCTTGGACATAGTCAGCGGGTGGTGGTCGTCTTCTTGTATGGGAAGGAAGACGTGGGTGATGAAGACGAGGCTGAGAGAGAGAGAGAGAGATGAGGTGGATGATGTGAGGGCACGCATCTGGTCTTGGTGATGGTCTACAAGGTCGACATCTTCATGCGCTTGGGTTGTTGCTGCTGATGTCAACATGATGCATTGTGAATTCGGAGTCTACTATGTTGGTGGTGGCGAGATTACGCTCTCATTGACATTCGGATTCAGTGCTTTGGTTCTCTGTTGGTGGAATATCAGTGCATATCTGTATTATCTGCTTTCGGGACAGTGTTGGACTTTCTGACTTTCAATGTGAAATTGCATTCTGGAATTCTGTCATTTTGCTATCGCTCATTTTCCTTGCATATTTCTCAAACGTGCATCAATTCTTTCATGTCTGAAAATAATGACATCGCTCCCTATGTGAATTTAATGTCTCTGCCCTCGGCCTTTTCATGACACTGAATGTCTGGTGTAAGCATCACTTACATGAATGGCCATATGACTCTGTTCCTGTTGAAAGGATTCCGGGCTGTGCCATTGCCCCGAGTCCTGGTCCCAGAGTCCCATTTGGTCCCAGTCCCAAGGGTCCCGGTAGGTACCGGTTCCTAGGGTCCTAGAGGTCTATAGGAATCCAGTAGAGTCCAGTAGAGTCTAGTAGAATCCAGTAGGGTAGGGTCGAGAAGTCGAAAAGTCATAGGTCGCTAGAAGTCTGGCCCAGCACCGGAACGAAAAGTACAAATTCCCGACGTCTATTTCTCAGCAGCATCCTGGGAAAGTCCGGTGACTTCCGGAGCTAACAATTGCAGCTGACAGGCCGCAGTGACCGTTAGCGGTCCGGAGCAAGACAAAGAACACTGAGAGCTGCTATTGCGGGAGCGCTGCTGTGTGACCAACGGGTTGGACAGTCAGAGGTTGATGAAGGAGTGGAGAAATTGGAGTCATGGCTAGGGTTGAGCGGAAGGGAGAAGTCTGTCATAGCCAAGTAGGGTAGTAACGGGGAAAGAGGTGAGTGTATTCAGGAAGTGAGAGTGAGTGAGAGAGAGAGGTGCGAGGATCTGGGTCCTCGGCAGGCCTAAGGGGCCCCTGTTGCAGCTCCGCCCGCCCTAAGTGAAGGTGGGCCTAACAAATCACAAATCACGAGAAGTCCTCAGCTGTCAATTTCGTATTTGGGGTCCAGGCAGTTTCGTCGTGCCAGTTGGTTGAAGGAAACACAGGCCGAGCAGCGAGGAAATTCCCAGGCCTTCTAGGCTTTTCCGAAAGCGCAGGCCCTGGGCGAGATTCGCAGCCTCATACACAGACAGTTGGGAGGCCCAACCGAATGAGGCCCAGTAGCTGCACCAGAGGCGCAGCATCCTGGGGCCTACCGGAAGCTTCTGGGCCCAGGCCCAGGCCAGCCAGGCTGCGAAGGCAGGCAGGCTCTTTCCATACAGGAAAGAGCTTGCTGCCTGGATGGGCATTCAGCACTTGCATGCTGGCGGCACTGCTGCTGGAGTGGACGCTCGTGGGCTGCTGCTGGCGCTGAGAGGCAAGGTGCTAGCACGTGCGGTCGTGCAGGGAGCAGGGCGCTGCTGAGGGCAGCACCATAGCCCAGCCTCCATAGCTGGATGGGCTTGGACTACAGTGAGGCACAGGGGTGGTCTTCGGGTGTACAGAGGGAAGACGTGGGAGTAAGTCAGGGAAGAGAGAGAAGGATGATGATGATGATGATGATGATGATGTGAGGGCACATACCTGGTATTGGCGATGGTTTGCATTGGGCGACATCTTCAAGTACTTGGTGGGCTGCTGGCGTCAACAGTTGCATTGTCAATTAGTAGGCAGATTGTAGCTGCCTACGAAGTAGGCTGGGCGCCAAGTAGGCAGATAGGGCCTGGTTACTCATGTTGGTGGTGGCGAGAGCAAGCTCTTATTGACATTGGTTGTCAGTGTTACAATTCTTTATTGGTGTTATATTGGTGCATTTCTTCTTTCTGGATACTGTGATACTATCTGGTCCTCAATGTGTTTGTGCATTGTGGACATTGTCATCTTGCTATTGCTCATTTTCCTTGCAATTTGGTATCGGAGCTGGTTCAAACTGCGCTTCATTGATTCTTCGCAATAGCTGTTTGGTGCTTCACAGGAAGTGTGGGGCAGTGATAAGGCTTTGGCGTTGAATGATTGGCGGCCCAGGGTCGTGTGGGCGCGCCAGGAAGCTATGTGGTGACATTAGGGGTGTACGCTGGATGATGAGAGCTCGCTGATGTGGCATTTAAGCCGAGGTGGAACTGCATTCTGCTGTTGGTCGTGCCGAGGCAAAGACCGGTCATCATAAATGCACATCAGGTTGCCGGTGAGAAATCTGTGGCTGGGGGCAGCATTATGAGGTACGTTGCTCTCTTCCTTATCTACCCTCTTTATTACTTCTTACCGTGAGGAAGTGAGTTCTGACTTGAGAGTCCTGTCAATGTGAGGTGTTGCGAGCGCTCAACCTTGAGAGTCGACATTCTTCCTGGGCAGCAAGCTGTGAGGTGTCGCGAGCGCTCAATCTTGAGAGTCGACATTCTTCCTGGGCAGCAAGCTGGTGGGAGACGGGCGATGCTTCTGAAGGGCCCTGGACGAAGCACTTGGGTCACGGTCACCATGCCAACCCGCTGGGACTAGTACACGCATACGTTGCCACAAGTCCTTGGTTCTGCTGCTGCGCAATAGAGGTCATGCCAGACCGTCTTTAAATATTTTTGGCGGGGACTCTGTGTTGAATCTGGCTGTGATCGTCGTCCTGTCTGCGACGTTAAATAATTCCTAAGGACCTTGGGAGCTGTCCTTAACTGCCTCTTGATCAGCCAGATCAAACTGGGTGTAAGGCTCGTTGCATGTGAGGATAAATAAAGTGCAAGGGCTGGCAGGTTCGGCATAGACCTGGGGCACACGGGTGGGCCGGATTGCACACCTTCAGACACGCTGCTTAACCAGATGCTTAGGACGTTGACACAAAGTGACTACTCAAGAGGGATACAGGGGGAGGGTTGGATTATGGTAACTGTTCGTTGTGATAATAAATAGATAAACTGCCATCCAGCATGTATCTCTGCAGAAAATATTATTTTTATTTTTGATTATTTAGTTGTTACAGACTTGACTAACAACTGACTGACAGCTGCAGATAGAATAGTACCTTCCATTGCTGCATGCAAACTGTTTCAGAGTAATCTAAAAATAGATCTAGTATTCCCTGTAGGATCTGACACTTATTATTGGTTACCGCTTGACTTCTCCTGGCTGACCGAGAGCCATTGATTAATCTTACGCGGTTGGGTGTCAGGCTAAGGTAGGATTCAATGTGGATTCTAGTTTAGATCACACTCCACTGTAGCTCATGAGTGAAGTTGTTAGTAGTGAGGAGTTAGTGGATGATCTTAGGGTTACTCGAAGAACTGCTCTCAGTCGACGTTTGACCTTTCAGGAAATAGGTCCAGAAGAGGAAAGGAGGCTGCGGAGAGAAGCTAGGGAGAGGGCGGCATTCCGGAGGACAAGGGACGCTGAGGCCAGCGCCAGGGCTAGGATCATAGCTAGCACGTGTGACCATGGCTTCCATGTCACAGACCTCTTCACAGGCCACTTCGTTAGGAGTCTGTCAGAGTAGTCAGAGTACTCAAGGCTCCATAAGTCAGACTGTTGCGTGCATGTCAGCCAGCAGCCCCCGCTCACTCTGGAGGATTATGAGATCCTCCAAACGGAAGCTCTTCATGATGAGTTACAACGGCAACTGAGAGAAGTAGAAGAGAGAAGAAAAAGGGCTAGATTGAGAAAAGTTAGATTAGGCACTAGGTCGCAGGAGCTACGAGGACTAGAAGAACTAGATGATGCTATGTTAATCCTGTTGATCGGTCGCTGCGCAACTCGCTACTTTGTGTAGCAGAAATGCAGGTAGTTCAGCAGGAATTGTTGGCTGAACTAGTG